TTGGGGAGTGCTGATATCCCGCCACGAGCTTGGCGGGAGCCAGTTCAGCCCCGAGGCCACCCATTGCAGCCCCTTTGCTGAGTCCCCTCATCCCGTGGTCTCCAGGATGAAGGAGCAGCTCTGGCCCAGTGTCCCCGACCCTGCCAACAGCAGCCTGGGCAAGTGGGTGCCGCCAGCGGTGCCACAGGTGAGACCAGGGCGGCTGCTCCCCGGGCCCCCAGTTCCCACCCAGAACATGTCCCTAAAGCGTGGGGCCACACTCAAGGGCAGCAGGGGCAGATGGCACCGGCTGTGACCTCYCGCTGTCCCCAGGAACCGCTCCAGSTCCTCGCCTCCAGRGAGCCCGGCCCAGCTGCCATCTCCACGGTCACCGTGCTGGAAGGGGCGCCGGGGAAGCAGGCGGGGAAGGAGCCCCCCGCCTTGCCCGCTGCCCTCCCGGCGCTGCCCCGGCCCTACGTGCGGCAGGAGGGTGCCGGGGAGCCCGTGCAGTACGCGCGGGTGGGGGGCGCGGGGTACCGGGGGCAGCGGCTGCTCCCCGAGCCCGCTCCCCGCTTCTACGAGAACCTSCGGGGCCGCGGAGACGGCGGCGGAGCGGGGGACTGGGGGTTCCCCGAGGAGCCCCCCGCCACCTTCCCGCTGCTGCAGGGGCTCCGCATCGGCGGGGCCGAGGAGCTGCACGAGTGCCGGGCGGACTAGAGCGGGATGAAGCCGGGCAGATCCGCCGGCGGGAGCCCCGGGATGCGGGGAACACCCGCGGGGTTCCGGGGGGATGCGGGGAACACCCGCGGGGTTCCGGGGGGGATGCGGGGAACACCCGCGGGGTTCCAGCCGCACTCCGGGGCGCTGCCCGGCTCCACCCCGAGCGGTGTTGTGTGTCCCCTCCTGGCCCTCTCCCTCCGAAATAAACCGGGACCTGCTGAGAACAACCCGGGCGCCTCTGCGGGACTGGGATGGGGACGGGGATGGGGACGGGAGTGGGGACGGGGGTGGGGATGGGACAGGTAGGGGACGGAACCGAGACGGGAACGGAGAAGGGGATGCAGCTGGGGACACGACGGGGACGGGGACAGGTAGGGGTCCGGCACCGGAACAGTACTGGGGACGGGATTAAGGCGGGGACGGGGATGAGGACGGGGATCGGGACTGGGACAAGTAGGGGACGAAACCGAGACAAGGACGCAGAGAGGGATGGGGACGGGACCGGGATGGGGACAGGAGGGGAACTGTGATAGGACGAGGACGAGGACAGGACCGAGACGGGGACGAGAATGGGAATGGGGAAGGGGATCGGGACCGGGACGGGGACGGGAGGGTGACCGGGAGGAGAACGGGGACAGGAGGGTGAC